TCCCTGGAAAATTCCTAGGTTAATTACGAATCGAGAAGATGAACAAAATGTCGAACCAAGACACGCTTAAAAGGTCAGACAAAAAACGACTCTCCCCTCTCTATATCTCCTTTCTCACCCGACCTTCTCACTTACCTTCTCCCTCTCCTTCCATTCCTCCCCCTCCCCCTCTCCTTCCCCATCCTCATCTTCCCGCTATCCCATCTCTCTTGACTTTCTCCCTATCCCGTGTGCAAGAAAAGAGGAAAAAAACGAAGAAAGGAGAGGGCAAGAGAACAATTATAATGATACTCTATTGAAAAACAACCGACCTCCTCCACCCAAATTAGCAAGAGGAAAAGCAAGAGCGATTACCCCTGAAGCTAAGCTCAAAGAAAGCTTAGCTCCCCTTCATGTGGCATGCTGACCTACAGCAACGCCCACCTGAAGCATGAAAGCAGGTAGATGGCACCAAGGTGCTTTCAAAAGTCGGTTGATAAAGAGTAAAGTAGAGTACTAGCCACTCGTTGACATCCACATTCCGTTTCACCCATCATGTAGAAAGAACGCTTGCCCAATTTCACTCGGACCACGACGCACCATTAGAGCTGAAATGTTGACGTGGCCATACCCCACGAAGCCCATCGCAGCCCGCGCGTACATTCTTGACAACCCAAACACACCCGCCAGCCAGAAGCCTGCGGCCACTTAGCTAGCAAACACTGTTTGAGCCGCCATGGCCGCACACCCAGCCTGCCAGCTGCCAGCCTCGCCAGCCAGCCACGACCGCGCGCTCCCCCGGAGGCGCGCGCCCAAATCAACATGCGTACGCGCGCACGTGCATCCAACATGGCTACAGAGCTAGCGCATCCTGGAATTTCCACAGTCATCACAATGTTAGTGCGAGGTCACACACTGTATGCAAATATCACAAAACATTGTAACATTTGCTACGGCTTCTGTCATATTTAGCCTCTGCTGCTACTCGATGAAGGGTGGGGGACGATGAGAAAGGGAGGCACAGCTACAGGCAGGTCTCTGTCTTTGTGCTAGCCAGACCTCCACTGGCGGCCCCAACCCTATACCCTAACCATTAGGGGCAAGGGGCAACATGAAATCTCCCCTTCACAGAGAGAGGAAAACTATGCTTGCAGGGGTCCCCTCTAGATAGTCTTAGGAGTAGGTAGTGGAAGGTAAAACAAACAGAAGTTGAGAGAAGAATATAGACAGTTGTGATCACCCCAATAAAAAAAGATATTTGCGTTGGAAAAAAATAATAATAATAAAAAAATTTGCATTGGCTGCTGGTCACACCTAACCGCCCGTGCCATATGGGACAGGGTAGCAACTTCCTGCATGTCAGAATTTGCGTTATTGTGCAAGACGCACACGAAGAGGGATGTGTTTCTTGTTTTTTCTTTGACTTCCTTTTCCCTTAAACTCTTGGGAAGGCAAAAATGCATTTGTGCTCACCTCTTGCGGTGGAAATTGTGGCCAGGCAGGCTGGAGGATTTGCATACCCATTTGAGTCATTTGCCTACCTGCTCTGGCTGTGTGACCCCGTACTATCGCAGAATCTGCAATGTTTGTGAATTTTGCTACCAGTGTGACCATGCCCTGAAACGAATAGCCTGGGCTCCGAATTCTTGGGGAGCTACGGTTTTCCCTCATTTCTGAAGCGGCAAATGTACTAGTATATTCTACAATCTATTTACGTATAGGGCCTCGCTGCACTACTCTTGATTTGAGCTTTTTCTTGAGTGCGGTAAAAGGGCACTCTAAAATCTGTTCTAGAGCCGTCAGAATGACTCTAGAAAAGTAATAGAGTCGTCATCGCTCCACTTAAGTTCGCCCCAGATTTTTCATTTCTTGAGCTGTCGGAGCGGGTCCGTCCTTCTCACTCTTGATTGATCTAGAGCACCGGCCTGCAAAGGTGTTTTTTGAGAAAACTACGGCGCAGTCAGGGTTTGAGTTTGTAATTGCACTTGAGGCAAAAGGGCTGGTAATGCTGAATGTATATGAACTACGTTTCGGGTCCGGTGGGGTCGCGTGGGGGTGTGTTGTATTCGCGGGATTGCCTGAAGTGCAATTACAAACTGTTTTCGGGACTGCGCCTGAAGTGCAATTACAAACTGTTTTCGTGACTGCGCCGAAGTTACCCCGTGTTTTTTTCTAGGGAGGTCTGGAGGACATCCTTGAGTGGACCTTTGAGTCTGGAAGGACAACCCAGGCTCGCACTGTCCTGTAGTGAAATGGCAGGCTGAGCTCAGAAAAAGTGACGGAAGGTGGTTTTTTCTAGGGAGGTCTGCAGGACCCTTGAAACTCCTTGGTTTTCCTTGAGTGGGCCTTGAGTCTGGAAAGACAACCCAGGCTGGCTAGTGAAATGGCCGAACTCAGAAAAAGCCAGGGAGTAACTCTAGATTTTCTAGAGTCTAGAGCTAGGGCCTCGCTCCACTGCTCTGGACATGCACAAAAGACAAAAATCATGGCAGTATATCTTTCCGTAGTGAAATGGCCGAACTCAGAAAAAGCGAGGGAGCAACTCCAGCTTTTCTAGAGTCTAGAGCTAGTGCAGCTATGCATAGAGTTTTGGACTTTTCGTGACTCTGACAGCTCTAGAAAGACTCTAGAAAATTTTCACGAGGCCAGAGTAGTGTGCAGCGAGCCCCATAGTCTCGTGAAACTGACCGGCCCTGGGTGGGTCATTCACGAATTTCGTTCTTTTGGTTCAGTCTGGATTCTTAGGGCATACTCACAGCAGGCCCTCAAAATAGCAGACTCCCAAAATGAGTCCTTCCTTTACAGGGGCTGGATCTGGCCGCTCATTTTGTAATTTTGCGAGTCTGAGGGCCTAGTCTGAGCATGCCCTAACTTAGTTCTGCATTCCAAACCATCAGTACTTCGCCCAGCTATCTAGTGCGAGCCTTGCACTACAGAGCCTTGCAGAGTCTAGAGCTTCAAGTAGCTGGAGGAGGGCGCTAACTAAAGACACATAAAATTAAAAAAAAAAAAGGAAAATTTGTCTGGCGCCCCTGTATTTTCCATTTATTTGCGCCGCGCCCCTCCAACATGCGAAATACCCTGCCGCGCCCCTCTGACCAGTAGTGAAATGTTTAATAAACCCCTGGCGTCGTTTGCGCCTCACATGTTTTTGTAGTGCCCCTACCAGTACCCACAACAAGTTTGTGTCATGCCCCTACCGGATAGCCATTCGGAAAATTTCCGATATGCCCCTACCGGGGCCGTCGATCTTTTCACTGTGCCCCTGTCGCCGTTGGAGGCACTCAGGATCAACCTGACCGACAATAACCGAGGACTGCTGCACCCCAGATCCGCCGTCGCATAGGCCTTCTGCCTCTCTCTCTCTCTCTCTCTCTCTCTCTCTCTCTCTCTCTCTCTCTCTCTCTCTTTCTCTCTCTCTCTCTCTCTGTGTCTCTGTGTGTGTGTGTGTGTGTGCATGTCACACACATACACACACACACACACACACACACACACACACACGCACACACACACACACGAGTGTCGACAACGAGCGGAAACTAAGAGGTGGGGGCCCTGGGGGGGACACTCACCTTGCGATGGTAGACGGCCAGCGAAAAAGAAGACTACAGGAGGTTGGATGAGCGCGTCAAGAAAAATGGCGGCAGCGCGTCAACAAGAACTTTGTTCGAAATTGAACTCAAATTTCCAGTGCCAAACTGCTGCAGGGGCATCACAGGAAGATGGGTGCTCCTTAGGACGGCATATGGCAAATAGCCCAATGAAATGGGACCTCTGGTTGAGGGAGGGCGTCATGGAAAGTTGCGCCACTACGGACGGGGGCCTGCCAGAAAGACTTTCAAGCCCAGGGGCGCGGCAGGGTATTTCGCATGTCGGCGACGCAAATAAATGGAAAATACAGGGGCGCCAGACAAATTTTCCCAAAAAAAATGAAAAAATAAAAAATAAAAAACAACGAACGAGGTTCTACAAAATAGAAAAACAAAGACATGAAATGTGTGTGTGTGTGTGTGAGAGAGAGAGAGAGGTGGTCAACAAGAGCTGGAGTTGAACTGCAAAGCAAGAGAGAGAGAGAGAGAGAGAGAGAGAGAGAGAGAGAGAGAGAGACAGAGAGAGAGAGAGAGAGAGGTGGGCAAGAAGAGCTGGAGTTGAACTGCAAAGCATCATGATTGGTTTTGGGAAATGAAAATTTGTTTATAGAGCATGATGTGGTCTGCCCTGCACCGTTAATTTTTAACTTTTGGACTATTTTTTTCCCTTTAATTATCCTCGTATCCTCTCCTCAATTGTTGTGCAGAAGTCCGAGCAATTTGTGGTAAAAAAGTTTTTTTTTTTTTTTTTTCAGAATAACAAGACATGTTTGCATCCTGAAAAGCGATTACATAACCACGCCGCCAGCATGAAATCGTAATCGAATTTGTGCTTTATGGATCTGCCCAGATAACGACAAATTGTGTGAATCTTCTGTACATCTATCTTATCCTCTTATCCACTCCTATCCTCTCCTGAATCGTTGCGCAGGATCTGCATAGATAACAGCAAGTCAGCGACTCTTCTGGATATCGCGATTGCTTCCCCCCCGCAACTGCAGTCATAGAGTGGCGCTGTTTTTGGGTGCGGAAGAGATAAGAGATAAGGATAAGGATAAGGACAAGATTAATTTTGTCGTTTTCTACCACGGATAAGATAAGTTCTGATTGGTACTGCAGCATGTGACCGCTTTATAAAGACAGTTTGTTTTTGCTGTTATGGAGAATGATCGGGCCGATGGAGACGACTGGCCGGCACCGTTCTCCTCCCTCTCCTCTCTCTCCTCTCTCTCCTCTCTCTCCCCTCTCTCCTCTCTCTCCTCTCTCTCCTCTCTCTCCTCTCTCTCCTCTCTCTCCTCTTTCTCCTCTTCCTCATTTGAGGCCCATATTCGTCCTCTGTCACAGACGACAAACCGCTCGTAGGGTCTCTCTTATACTTATACTGCAATTGCTTTCCCTCTACTTCTTGCTCATCCCGAGGTTTTTCAGTTGCGGCAGGCGTGATCACGCAGTCAAATCGGGCGGCGACCGTCTTGTAAAGGGATGGGCGACCAGGGATGGAGGACGGTCGGTTGAGGACCTTGAGGTATCAGAAACCAGGCTCGCCGGAGAGTCGGTCGCGGGATTGGCGACCAGTCTGCACGGAGGGTCCGTCGAGGGATCAGCAACGACCAGGCTCCACCGGCGAGCGGTGGAGAGATCAGGAGCAACCAGGCTGGCTGGGCGGTCGGTCAAGGAATGGCAGACCAGGCTCGGCGAGCTACCGGTCGTTGACGGATCGAGTACGGGGCTCGGAGAGCTGCTACCGGTCGAGGGATCGACGACACGACTCCGCGGGCTACCGGTCGATGGACGGGCGACCGGACTTGGGCTTGGCGTGCTAACGGTCGAGAGGCCTGCTATTTCCCTTACTGACAATGACGTCCTCGTGCGGGCGACCGGTCGCGGGACCGGATACTTCCCGTACCGGTCGCCCGCACGGTCGGGAGGTTCAGCTCTTGGGGTAGATGGTCTCCATTCTCCGATCGATGTCCCGACAACGTCGTCCTCCTGCGGGCGACCGGTCGCTGTACCGGATACTTCCCCTACCGGTCGTCGGACTCCTTGTACTTCGGCCGACCGAAGGCATCTGCAGTCGCCGCCCGCCTTACCTGCCGAGGCAGCAATCGACATCGCTCAGTGGAATCTCCTAAGCCCGCCCAGGTCCATTGTTTCCGACGCTGCTTCCCAGCCCCCCATGCAGGAAGGAGACGGCACCATATCCTACCGTCTCTTCGTCACGGACATAGCCCTCTCTCCCAACGGATCCCAGCTGTACTACATTCTCTCCGAGAGGCTTATGTTAAGAAACGCTACCAATGTGCGGGACTACAAGAATCAAATCTTGTCGTACAGGAAGGCGGACCTTCAACCAACACTCGCGGGAGTCCCGTCGAGACCGGTCATGGGGGACGTCATCAGCTATTGGTGGCCGACAGTGAGTCAGAACGGGACACGTGTCACATCGCTGCAGGCCTGCGATCAGACTGCATTCGCCTGTAACATGACGATTCCGGAGGCTATGGTGGTGTCCCAATCAGGCACGCATCTCATCCTGTCCCCGAGGAGGGTGAGTCCGCCGAACCTGGTCAGCCTGGGGGTGCAGGAGGGGGCGCGAATCGCCACCCCGATGTCGGCAGAGAGCTTCCAGACACTGGCGACGGATCCGTCGAGATCGACGGTCTACGCCGCGAGCGAGCAAAGCATCCTGGCCATCGCGGTGGATCCGTCGGGGATCCCGACCGGCGCACCGAACGTCGAGACAGTCGCGACCTACGAACCCCCACCTGTCGTCGGGGGTGTTGTGCCCATTCAGGTCTCTCCGCAGAGCTTCGTCGCGTCAGAGAACGGCAGCTGCTTGTACATCATCGAGAACAACCATCGCCAGCTCCTGGCCCTGCCCTTTAGCAATGCAACCTCCTCCTCCTCCCCCTCCTCCTCCACTCCCAATTTCGTCCAGGTCGTCGAGGGCTTGAATCCGAACAATACGGTCTTCATGCAGACTTTGGTCACGACATCGGACGGCTGCAATGTTTTCATCACGGATGTTGATCGGGACGGACTCCGTGGCTACCTGCGATGGGTGAAGGTGAGGTCGCCGTGCAGAGCAGGGGGAAGCGTGGAGATGGTGGCCAGCTATGCAGGCCAGAGTATGTGGGGACTGGCTCTGCTGGAGAGGGAGGAGGAGACACTACTCTACGTCGGGACCAGCGACGGGCAGGTGATCGAGCTGCAAGTCAACAAGTCCTACTTGCACTCCTGTGTCCCGTTCCGGCCAAGGCCCCCCACACCTCCTCCAGCCTCTTCTCCAGCGCCGTCTCCTCTTGTTCCTCCCTCCTCGTCATCATCATCACCTCCGGGTCTCATATCGCTTCCCCCTCTTTCGACGCCAATCACATCTGAACCTGCTGATTCGACTTCCGGTCCCGACGAGTCTGCCGACTCCTCTTCCCCCCTCCATCTCGTGCTGCGTATCGTCCTCCCTTTGACAGCTGTCAGTGTCGTGGCCGCTGTCCTAGTTCTTTTCTGGTGCTACTGCATTGCGCGCCAAGCCAATAGAAATGACGACCACCTCGTCCCCAGATCCAAAGGAGGAGGAGAAGAAGCAGGAGGAGGAGAAGGAGGAGGAGGAGGAGGAGGAGGAGGGTTTTTATTCTCCTCATCCTTTCCCACTCCCTCGTCTTTGACACCATCATCGGGTTCTACCTCCACCGGGTCCGTCAGCTCGAAGAACCGTCGTCTTGATCCCGCTAATGTGCGGGAGTTCGAGCTCGCGACCTTGCAACAGCTCACAGACAACTTCAGCACCCAATACCGTATAGCTGAGAGGGGGGGATTCGGAGAAGTGTACCGTTGTTCTCTGGAGAACAAAGAGCTGGCCATCAAGGTGATGACGGGGGATCTAACGGCGGTGAAGCGGAATCAGTTCATTGCGGAGGTGAACACGCTCACCAGAGTGCACCACGCCAACCTCATTCCTCTCGCGGGATACTGCCAGGAGGGTAATCGATCGATCCTGGTCTATCCGTACTTCAACGGCGGGAGTTTGTGCGGTCGTATACATCGAAGCACCCGCAAAGACAAGAAGACGGAGAGGGACGGAGAGAGGGAGTCGAAGGGCAGGCCACCACCTACTCCACCACCTCCTCCTCCCTTGACTCTCGTCGAACGCTTGTGCATTGCTTATCAGATTGCCAAAGGCATTGCCTACCTCCACGAGGGAGCTAGTCCCCCCATCATCCACAGAGACATCAAGAGTGCCAACGTGCTTCTTGGCGATGGCGTCGGGGAGGAGATCCACGTCGTCGTCGCCGACTTCGGCTTGGCCGCCATTGGTGAGAAGGTCTTTGAGACAGGACACGAACACATCGTGAACACCTCCCACGTGGGCGGGACCTTTGGCTACATGTCTCCTGAGTACATGCTGCTCGGTGAGCTATCGGAGAAGAACGACGTGTACGCCTACGGCGTTCTCGTGTTGGAGATGCTCTCCGCTCGCAAAGTCGTCACGCCGACCGACACCGGCGCTGGCTGGCAGACCATCATTGAGTGGATCCGACCGTTCTTGACGGAGCGACCAGCTAGAAGTCGCAGTACTCGACGTGACAGACCATTACTACAACATGGTCCCGATCCCGACCGTGAGGTGGAAGAGGTTGATCGGAATAACATGCCGAATGCGGTGCTGGACACGTGTCTGCATGCTGAGGTGGAGCGCACACCCTTGATGAGGAAGGCGGCGATGGACACTCTCAAGCTGGCAAACGAGTGCACCCACGAGAAGGACGTGATGAGGCCCGGGATGAGCGAGGTGGTAGAGCGCCTAAGAAAAATAATGGCCGAGGCAAAGATACGCAGTCGAGCTGGATGAAGCCGAACCCACCATTTGTTGTGAGTCTAGAGTAGCCCCATCAGGAATCTGAAATGTATCCGAGAGTTAGTGGAGCAAGACCCATAGGGGCCTCGCTGCACTACTCTAGATTCCAGCTTTTTCTTGAGTGCGGCATGGGTGCACTTACTCAAGAAACGGGCGCTCGAAACAAACATTCTAGAGCTGTCAAAAAGACTCTAGAAAAGTAGTAGAGTAGTCATGATAAGTTCACTCTAGATTTTTCATTTCTTGTTTTGCTCCAGATTTTTCATTTCTTGAGCTGTCAGAGGGGGTCGGTCCTTCTCACTCTAGATTCATCTAGAGCACCAGCCTGCAAAGGCGGCTTTTTCTAGGGAGGTCTGGAGGACACTTGAAACTCCTTGGTTTTCCTTGAGTGGACCTTGAGTCGGGACGGAGAACCCAGGCTGGTGCTGTCCTGTAGTGTGAGTGACAGAGCAACTCTAGCTTTTCTAGAGTCTAGGGGCCTCGCTGCACTACTCTAGACTCTCGAAATATTTGGAGAGTTCGACTAGCATTGTCAGAGAGGCGAGACTCTTGAAATACCCGCCTTTGCTGCACTTACTCTAGAACCTGTGACACTAGATCAACTCTCGAAACCCTGGGTGTTGTCCGACTCGACAGAAGAGCTGCACCACTGCGCTTCGGGACAGAGTCTGGCTGCCGGAACAGGAGGTCCACTCTCGAAAAAACGAGCTTGTGGGCGGGCAACTCCCGAGGACACTTGCAAATTCGGTTTTTGCAGGCAGGAGACTCTCTATGTTTCGAGAGTGGCGTTGTAGCATGGCATCTGACAGCTCTCGATCTGGTTTCGAGGGTTTCCCGATCGAGAGTAAGTGCAGCGAAGACCCACTCTCAAAACTTCAAGAGTCTAGAGTAGTGCAGCGAGGCCCTAGAGCTAGGGCCTCGCTCCACTGCTCTCTAAATGTGCATCTACATGCGCAAAAGACGAAAATCATGGTGGTGTATCTTTCCATAATCTAGCCGAAGATTCACTCTCGTCTTGCGCTTCTCGAGAGTAGTGCAGCGAGGCCCTAGAGCTAGTGCGGCCATGCATAGATGTTAGGACTTTTCATGACTCCGACAGCTCTAGAACGACTCAAGAAATTTTTCACGAGTCTAGAGTAGTGTGCAGCAAGCCCCATAGGGTCTCGCTCCACTACTCTAGATGCCAGGTCTGGAATTCCGGTTCTTGAGCTGTCAGTCTCTATCTCACGAAAATGGCGAGAATCCATCGTCGCTCCACTACCTCATGGAACACACTCACGAAAACTCTTTTCTTGCATTGTCAGAACCTCCTCTCCCGTGGCACTCTTGACGATTCCAGAGCTCCCTCCCTCTGCAGGCGATTCCAGAGCTCCCGCCCGCCTGCAGTGGCGGGAATTTCAAGGGAGGCATCCAGGACCTTGGAAAGTTGAGCATTTTTATGGAGTGCACCTGGAGTCTGGGCGGACAACAACGTGCTGGCCATGTCGTGTAGCTCTCTCAAAGAGCGGCCGGACATCCGAGAGGCCTTCTCGAGTTCGACCTTTCTAGCGTAAGTGGAGCGATGTTCTCTTTTTCAATCGTTTCTAGAGTCTGACAGCTCTAGATTCACTCTCGAAAATCTTCGAGAGTCTAGAGTAGTGGAGCGAGACCCATAGTCATAAAAAAAAAACTGCCCTTCAAAAAAAAAAACTCCCCTCCCCTGTGATTGGTAGGAAGGGGGAGAAAAGAGGACAACAAATGAAGTCCTGTGACAAATGAGGGGTTGGTGAAGTTTCACGGACCCATCAGGAGTCTGAAATGCATGCGTACCGGGATAGAGAGGGAAACACCCTACCCCCTCCATGTATCTGGACTCAGCTGAAGTCCACACATACATCCAAGGGGTCCCGTGTTTTCCGGGCGGGATGTATGTGTCTTCAGCTGAGTCCAGATCTATTGAAAGGGTAGGGCGTTTTCAGAACGCAGCACCCCCATTTTCATGAATTTTGGGTCTTTCGTTTTTTTTTTTTTTTTTTTTTTTTGGTTTTTTTTTTTGTTTTTTCCCAACTTTAAACCCTTCTGTACTTTGGGTCAAAAAATGAGAAATCAATTTGGTTCAAGAAATATAAAATGTCCGTTTTGACGAAATCCATGTCTACATGCATTTGGAGGGTTTTTGGACTACTTGAAGGTGCATTCACTCTACACATGCATTTGGATGGTTTGTGCATCAGGTGCACTCGCACGAGGCCAACATTTTGACAGCATCCAAAAGCATCCAGTTCAGAAAGAGTCCAAATGCGTCTAGTGTGGAAGGAGGCCCTATGTATGCTTATATCATGGTGAAGGCCCAAGACCTGTAGTATAGACCTTGAGGATGGTGATAATTTATGATGGTCCCAATTTTCAGATGGACCCATTTTTCAGATGGACCCCATTTTCAGATGGACCCAATTTCAGATGGGCCCAATTTTCAGCAGGTGTTGCTCCCCATCAACCAATGGAATTACAGCTATGCTGATGAAAAGAGAAAGGGTAGGGGGAGGAGAAGCCGGGGGCCAAGGGGGTTTTGTATTAGTTCATGATTTTTAATTTAGTGAAAAAAAAAAAAAAAGAGGAGCCCAATGATTGTCGGGATCTGGAGTGGGTGGACACTGTCGGGATATGGAGKGGWTCTWYTTTTTTTTTTTTTTTTTTYTTTSGKGGGGGGRGGGGGGGGGGGGGGAGGGTGTAACTTTAGTAGAGTCACAAAAACGAGTTCTACTTGCACTGTAGGGCCTGATACAGTTTGCAATTGCACTTTGGGCACCTTACCTGGCCAGAAATCTGGTTTGTATACATTGCCCGAACTGCAATTAGAAACTGTATCTTGGCCCATAGTGCAATTATAACTTATTTTGTGACTCCCCCCTAGTTTCCCCTTTTTAAAAATTCAATCCAGTTTTTTTTTTTTTTTTTTTTTTTTTTTTTTGAGAAGTTGTCACTTTATATTTCAAAAACAAAAGTGGTCGAGGCCGGGGACCTCACAATTCTGCCCGGTGTTGACAAGGAAACTTGCTGGAAACCGGGTCCACAGACTCCACACTGCCTCAGTAGGAAGACGAACTCCTCAAAATAGCCTTGTAGCACAGGAAAAGGTGGCTGAACTAATCATAACAAAACTCACTTAGTCTATTCCTTCAGCCTATAGTATGATATCCTTGCAGTGCAGGAGAGTACAAGGCCGGCATGTTTCTAAGATCGAAACACTAATGCCAAAGAACTACAACTTATAATCTGCAGCTCTCGATAATGCGCAAGGCAATTCACGAGAATTTTACAGTCTCCACCCTAAGTAATATTCCAAAGGCATACAAAATTAACCCTAAGTTAAGAACTACACACATACAATTTTAAACTGAACATAGTAACATTATCTCTATGAAATATGTCATCCGAGGAGGCAAACGATTAAAAACAACCAATCCAAATTCCAAAATATATCGGACTACAAAAAGAAATCTGGATAGCTAAAAGCTGGGAAGAGGAAATAGTCATTGGGGTTGCCCTCTCAACCTTACAACCCAAAATGCTGTAAAGAGCCTTTGTTGCCTAGGCGGGTTTCCCACCACGCGCCCAATGTATACAACTCTGGTTTGCTCTTCACTGGGTCTTTCATATCATCCCTACCCTGTGAAAACCATCCAAGACTACTGCAAACATATCCCAACACTTCAGAATACCGAGACTTTAAGAAGTGTTTAACTCATCGCCTTCGGGAAACGTTCCCACCGCCGCTAGTGAGACTCCCACTTCCGCTGTTGGCACCGCCACCCATAAGGCTTCAAGTCATTACAACCGTCCAAATTCCAAAAATAACAAAGTAACACACATAAGATCTACAAGATAGAAACTAGAAAGACAATCTTTCAAAACAGAATTCGGACAGGGATAAACATTAGGGTTACCTCCTCAACCTCACTATCAAAAACGTTGTAAAGACCCTCTGTTGCCTAGACGGGTTTCCCACCACGCACCCAATGGATACAACGCTAGTTTACTCTTCACCGGGTCTCTCATACCCTCCAACCCTGTGAGGAATTCCCTAAACCAATACAAGGATACCCCGGCCACTTATGAGTGACGAACTCAGTAAGGTGTAAGTGGCCCTACATCACTGTTTCCTATACTTGAAACACAACATCGCCATCAACAAACGCGGTCCACATACATGCCAAGGATTTTTGGAAATTGAGTGTGGGGACACAGACAGAACTGAAACCCCCCGTGACGGTCCGATGAAGTGAGTCGATTGCTTTTCGTGCATTGCAGAGTGCGCGCGCGAATTCGGTGCGAAAGGAGAGAGGAATACAAATTTAATCCAAAAAGTATTGTCGAACTTCTCACTGTGCTACGGCCCTTCGTTTAGAGCAAAAAGACTCCGGCACGCTTTGCGTGTCTCGCTTGCGTATTAAGTCACGGCGTTGCTCGCTAGTTAGTTCTGAGTCGGACGTGGAGGGTCTCAGTCGTGTGACACTTTCTTTCTGTTCATCATCGTTCCGTATACGGTAGTGGAAACCCTTGGATTCGTAGCGCTTGAAACGCTGGCAATCAGTGCACAGAGTGCGAGGCCAATGGGGTTCCACTGCTGTCCACGGACTGACGATCGGCTCGTTAAAGGGCAACAATATCGAGTAGGGCGGAAAGTGAGTATCAATAATGACAAATCCAACATCCACGAATCCTGAACAACGAATTTCTGGAGGGAAGTAATATCGTCCTCCGATCTGTGCTACAACTTCTCGCACGTCCCACTCGCATACATGTGTCCTTTCCTCGTGGTAAGGAAAAGGTCGCGTTTTTGTGGGAGATACGGGAGGCTGACACCCGATCGAAAGGCGTCCGTCCGTCCACATGTCAATCAATTGCAAAAATCCCGAGACGTCATCAAGGAAAAACACTCGCACAACCACCAATCAATTTTTTTCGACACGAGAGAGGGAGAGAAAGAGAGCACTTATTAGTTCGATCATGTATTTAACCGAGGGACCGACCCGCGACTCAGGTTTAATAAGCCACGCGGCGTTGATTCGGGGCGCCTTGTTTGTCGAGGCAGCCTTGTAGATCGGTTGCAGAGGTCGTGCAGCATAAGGCAGATGGCATGCGCACTGCATTCAGAACCACAGATCTAAACACTCTTGCATTCTCGAATAAAAATCCCATCGAACATCGAATCTAATCAATGCGAAAAGGCAAGCATCTCCTTACATACATTCACTGTGGAAGGTGTGAAAATGACAGGGGTGCACAGGTCAGAAATCAAGCGAGAGACTTGTACACACGCATCCACCGTGCACAAGACAAGAGGATCAATTCCTTGACAACTGGGGATTACCCAGGAAACTAATGGAAGAGTTCCGAAAGAAGTTCCTTCGCAGAGGAAAGCACACAGATTCATTCTCATACACGAGAAGGACAAACTCAAGACACAGCGTCATTCAACTCCGAGAAAGAGGAGAGAGAGATGTCATGATAGGAGATACAGAGATCCGAGAAAGGACATTCGGCATTGTAGTCGTACACTCACACCAAAAGATAAAGGTCCGCACAACAAAGGCGCTTTCGCCGTGGATTTCCTATATGGCCCCGGGCCAATCACTCACTCAATTCCAATTCTGATCCTCAGACCCGCACTGACGATCCCGGCCGTCGTGTGCCTACTTTCGCCGCTGCGATCGTCACCCCGCCGACGCAAACACAACGCAGTTTGCCCCGATCCCACAATCCGTTGTGGCGATCAAGCGCGCAACCGCCCAGCCTGTCGTCAGCCCGACAAGACTTTCGACTCGCACCAAACACTCCACCTAGCCACTGCTTCCCTGAAGCTGGCTTGGGCGTCGAGAACGTAAGATAGAATTGCGGGCGCGCTTGCGGACTTTATAGTTGCGACAAGGAAGAAAGAAAGGGGAGAAGGCGAAGGGGAAGTTGAGGTGTAAGAGGAGAAGCAGGAGGAGAAGACTTTGAGAAGAGCGCTCCGTGGGAGCCATATTGATCCCCCGAAGCTCAACGTTCAATCAATCAGATTCGTCGCGCAATAAGAAGATCCTATTAATCCACGCACCTGATTGGCGAGCGGGAGTTATCGAAGGATCAGCCGAGCTTCGTGCACTGTGTCCGGAGGGTGAGAAGGAAAAAGGCGCGAGAAGTAGCGCAAGACGGGGCCAAGATTCAGATGACCAAGAAGGAGAAATGGGCTCGCAACGATCAGAGCGAGAGAGAGAGAGGAAAAACAGTTGCGAGGAGAGAGAAAGAGGAGGGGGAAAGGGAGAGGGGAAAGTGCGGGGGAAGGATGGCACGGGAAATAAGGAGAAGGATGCTCGCATGCGCGGTGTCGACAGCAAGAGAAAAAGGCACCGAAACAGTTACAACTTTGCCTATATCCTACACCAATTCGAAAAGTGAAATCACCATATCCGCACGCGAAAGTCGACGCGGGAAAAGAAAGTCCTATGCCTATTCGTATTCTCGCAAAATTCCTAGAGTTTTCTCCGTCGTGACCAAGAACATTCATGCAAGGAAAAAGATACGTCGGGCTCAGCTTATTTCGTAACTCCTAACTGTCGTGCCCGTATCTAAGTGCGCTCGCTAAGGCGCGCGTAATTTTCCATGTATTTCCTGAATTGCAAAAACAGAATTTCAAGGATCAAAAAGAGCTTCCGACAAAATGGGAGCCGCAAACGCGGTGCCCGAAATCAAGAAAACAAACGGGGGTTTTGCGGGGTTGGTATGATACA